ACAGAAGGGATCGGAGGTTCACAGGGCCGTGGGGCGAACAACGACGATCACTGCCCGGACAGGAGGGCAAGAAGACAGACACTGGTTGCGGCGGTCGAAGGGTGAAGGGGTGCGGCGCGAGGAGACGCGACAGGACAGGAATTCTTACTCTACACAGCCACAGCCACAGCACACAGTAAGTAGAGTAGTAGTAGAGTAGAGTACAGTCCAGCTAGAGTAGCTAGGAAGGGAGGGGAAAAGGGAGAGGAGGAAGCGGAGGAGGTAGCGGAGGAGGAGGAGGAGGAGGGAGGAACGTTGATGGGATGGAATGGCGAGGCCACTTCCTTGCAACCGCCTGCCCATGTCCTCGCCCCTCGTCTTCCCATGGTTGGGCTGGCCGACAGGTTTTCGGCGTCAGTCCCACCACCGCCTGACGTCATTGTCGACATTCGAACTTTTCCATGAGAGCCCGTGCACCTGTTAGGTTAGGTCCTGGCCCTTGCCATCGTAAGTAGCATAGTACCGGTAGAGTAGAATTCCCTCCATGCCCAACAACAGTAGAGTAGCATAGCACACCACTACTCTACCGGTACCAGCTTCGGCTCTCCAGCACCGTACAACAAAACTTACGGCATACCCTTGTACGAATCCAGGGCACCCCATTGCTAGGCGTAGTAGAGTACAAGTGCTTACTCTCCTGCCCCCTTCTTTGCCTCTTTGCCTGGCCATGTGCTGGACCGGTACCGGTACGCTGCAAGCACCCGCTTCGCGCCACCATTTTTCAAACCCTGAAGCTGGCCTAGGTACCTACCGTGCCCCGCCACAAGTTGCCAGTCTCTGCATTTCCACCTCTTCGGCGACGTACATGACCATCACCTGCGCACAGGGTAGTTGAAACCCCACGCATCTCCCATCATCTGCGCAGGAAGGTTGCGCGACAACACCAGCTGGGCGGTCGAATTGGCATGTACTGTACTGTACCTAGAGTAGGTAGGTACCTAGCTAAGCGCCCCCACCCCGCCTTCATCCTCGCCAGCCCACCGTTCAAAAATGGCCATGGACTACACCAAACCTGGACAGCGGCACTCTCTCGAATCTCGACCGAACCAAGCAAGACGAATCGCTTACTCTCTCTCTCTCTCTCTCTCTCTCTCTCTCTCTCTCTCTCTACATCTATACATCTATACATCCAACAATCCACACACCTACATAGTTGCACCCGCAGCCGTATCACCATCAACATCCAAAATCGCACCTTGTTCCACATCCCTCGGCTTAACCAGCCGAATGCTGACCTCGGAATCCTGACTATACACCCTGAGACCCAACACGCAAACCGCGTTCCACGGTCTGGCTTCTTCCTTGTCGACGGCACCTTGGGCTGCTCTTGGACGTGCTGGTCGGTTCTCTTCCGCCGCGCAGACACTGCGCTCATCTCTGTGCTCGTCGAGCAGCCCCTGATCTCTGCCGTCGTGCTCGGTCATGCGTGATGTGGCTGAAAGAGGAGCACGGGGGGGTGGCTGGATAGTATCACTGTCATCACGATTGGGTTGCTCGTTGATCGGCTCGTCGTTTTCGTCGCTGGCTGGACTGATTTGGACCTTTGGCTCCATGATCGAGCTCATCTTCATGTCTGCATCCGCTGCTGCGTCTTTAGGGCGGATGGAGAGTTCACTTGTTTCTTGGGCATCGCCCTTCTCGACATCCGTGAGAAGAGCTTGTTGATCATGCTCTAGACTAGGCTTGTGAGAGACAGACTTGGAGGTTGACAAGCTTGGCGAAGTCTCCTCCACAACAGCTGCCTTGACCTCTGCATGCTGTGGTATTTCGCTGACCGGCTCTTGTGTTGATCTCCTCTTCTCCTCACGTATCTTTTGCCTTTTCCAGGCTTCATAATCGGCTTTCTCCCCTCTCTTCCATGCTTCAAAATCCTCCCTCTCCCTCTCCTCTGCTTCCTTCTCTTTCTGCTTCTTTTCTGCGGCTTCCTTCCTTTTCCTTTCTTCCTTTTCCTTCTCGTCCTCTGACTCTTCCAACACACCTTTTGCATTGGCAATGTCATAGTTGAGCCCGATTTGTCTGAGCTTCTGCGGATTGCGATGTGCTACTTTGGTGACGACATCGTGCACGTCTGGGGCGTCGGCATCGCGTGAAGCCTCAATCTTGGGTAGGACCTCATATGTGCCCGCTTCCAAATGAACCTCGGCAGAAATGCTCCGATTCCCAAACCAGGCACCACGGGCTCGAACAATGTATTCACCGTTGGGCGCGTCTTTCTCTTGCAATATGAAATGCAGGTTAAAGTCGTATTTGCCGTTCAACCCGCGAAAATAGCGATCATCAAGCTGCCAAGGTAAGCAAGCATACTAGGAATTATGAAGTAGGAGAAAATACCTGGCAGAGCACAAACACCGTAGGCCCAGCCCTTTTTATTTGAACCGAGAACTTGGTATTGAGATAGCCCGTAACCCAAGCCACTGAAACACTTGTCCAATGCTGAACAACTGTCCAGTCCGCATCAAACAGTCGTGTTCGATCTAGCAGATTGAACCTGTTGAGCATGTCTTCGTATGACATCCAGAAAAGGCCGTCGTTACCAAATTTGTGGCCCAGTTTGTTCATCCAATACGGCGTCCACTCGGCTGAGCCATCTGACCATGGCCCAGTCCACTCGCCCATTCCGGCATTCGCTCTCTTGCCCCAAGGGTTTCTGTAGAATAGTAAGACCAAATAGGGATGAGTGATTGCTGATTTACCGTATCAAGACCAATCTTTGTCTCTTGCCGTCTTCACCGTCCGCGTCGACCGCCTTGAGTATTGAGTAGGCGTGACTGAGCGCGAGACCTCTTCTCGCATCGGAATCGTCGCCATACGAGCTTGGAGACGAGGCGGAAAACAAGAATTGCTGATTGACTTGGAGCATTTCATTCCAGAGGCGATCTTTGCTGAGAACGCGATCGGTCATGATCTTCGTCGTCACACCACCAGTCAGGTCCTCAATTGCTTCGCCACTCCAACCGCCAGAGATGGCATCATAATCACCATGTACTTTTGCATATGCCTTTTCCAGTAGAGGTAGCCAGGTCTCATTCTCGTCCGCACAAGAGGCAAAGTAAAGTGCAGTCGATCCCGTTTGATGGTTCTGTCTATATTTGGCCTCCTTGCAACCAGTTGGGTCGTACATGTCACCGTACGCGTCGAAATCCTTGTGCTTCAGGTAGAGGTTATCATCAACCACTGTCCAGATCCACTCGCCATCTCTGTAAAAGACGAAGCCGTACACTCCGCATTCGGCATCATGTTCAACACAAACCTTATTTATGAGCTCTGGGTTACTGCAGATAGAGGCAATGGCTGCAATAAGCCAACAGTCTCCATTGGACCCTTGGACGACATCCGAGCTTGAGAATCCGTCAATCTCAAATTGGGGCTTCTCAAAGATCCAATCCAGTCGATGAACAGAACCCGGCCCACTGTCGTCGTTGGTGGATTGATTGCCGTTTAGGAGCTTCGCTGCCGTGACAAGATCAAATGTCGCAGCGTTTTGCAAGAGAACATCGCTTTGGATAAGGGTAGAAAGTGCTGACCCTAGGCGTGATGTGCTCATGCTGGCTGCTGTCGTGGTAGAGGGCTCATTATACCAGTGCATCAAGCCCTCCAAGCAATTCTTGTCTTCAAGATCTCCAATATCGAAATCTGCGTCTTCGAATTTCTCATTTGTTCTGTGGCATTCCCGCACGATGCGTTTCACACGTGCACGACACTCATTCGCCGCTGCCTGATAGGATTCGGCTGCATTTTCCCCCGTAGCGGTTTCTGACTTGCGGGGTGGTGGCAGCAGATGCGCGTATAAGCTGGATGGAAAGATTTTGGTGACTTTAGCAGGCCTTTTGGTGATGAGGTTCTCCCAGAATTCATTGATGGCAGCTTGAGGCGCGCTAATGGTGTTTTCACCGGAGACAGATCCCATGTTTGCTTTTGAACAAGTGATGGGCAGCTGAGGCAATACTGTAGCTGTATGTTGGTATGTCGTGTCGTTGAACGTGTGAGTTGTGGTCGAGTTCAACGAAAAGCTCCTGTTCGGAAATTGGGCGGACAGCGATGGGAAGAAAAAGAATGGAAGAGACCAGCAGGAGACCATGAGAACGATTGAGGATTGGGGCTGTATCATTGCCGGCATCAGCCATGGGCGAGGCATTCTTGTGGGGGCCAAAACCATAGGTGTTCGCTACCTATGGCAAGTGGCTGTTGCTGACGGTGTGCGGCTGAACACGCTACCTATCTCGTTGGAGCCAGATGTGCCACGAACGACAGATCGGCAGGCTGGTGGTTGTGAGGGCATAGCGCCATGTCCATATCGTCTTTCCCACCTGAACATGGCAGAAGGCAGTTTGGGGATTGTTGACGGCGCGGACGTTAGCAACGCCACGACTAAACTTACATACAGCGTGGATCGTCAGCCAGGGCGTCTAGGTATGTGCAGCTAGATTGAAAAACGAGAGCTGTATCGAGATGACACAGACAATCGAGACTCCAAATGCCCATGGCACTTCAAGCGTGTGAGAAGTGAAGATTCGATGAATCTGTTACCGTCTAAGGTGAGAAGAAGCAGAGAGAGGGGACAGTGCGCGATGATATCATGGCATGGGGATGGCTGGTGTGCAGCGGCAGGCGCAACTAAGACTCAACAACATGGCTCACAAACTCACTCGCTCGCTCACTCATTGACGTCATCAGTCCCCAGTCAACTCTGTCAGTCAGCACCCAAGCCTCCAAGCCTCAGCCGGTGGAAAGAGCGTGTCATCTAACATCGGTCCGTAATGACAGCAAGATACAGTAGGTGGATAGGTAGGTAGTGAAGTACGATGCATGGCAACTTGGCAGACTACATGGCGATCCATCACCAAGGCTTTCCATTACAATACAGTCACAGTACCTAGCATGCCACCGTTGTGTTGTGTACCTACCAGCCAGTTGACGGACCAGAAAGCCCCCTTCTATTGGTGAGCAGACTGTCCAGACCTGCCTTTCGCATGCGAGCTTGTGTAGTACTCCTAGTAGGTACCAGCGCTGGAGGGGAAAGGAGAGTAAGCAGCAGATCTAGCCTGAGATGGGGGGGCATGTGCTGTCCCGCTCGGTTCCCATACCTGGTTGACGGATCCGCCAGCCGCCGTGGACTCTCCAGACTCGTCGCATCCGACGCAGTGCAAACCCTTGCTGAAGTGGGCACGACGCATAGTCGCGTACTCTGGTCGAATCGAATCCATAAGGCGCTGATGATCATTACTCCCACCGACGAACCTGGATCCTGCGTATGTTTGTTTCTTCGCGGGGAACAGTTGAAAACTGGAACCATCTTCCGTACCTACAGCGGTAGAGCAGCGTTGTTTTGCGGATCGAGGCTTCCGTACAAGAGCGCTACCTATCGTGCGGGTATCGTGGGGTGTGGATTGGTTCGTGAAGTCCGCTGTGCAATTGGATGGTGTTGAGAAGCCATGTGTACTTGGCGTACCTACGACTCGTCTTGTGGTTTGACGGGAAAGAGACCGCCGGAACATGTGTATCTACTCGTGCCGCGTCCTGCCGCAGATGTAGGTAGGTACTGTAGATGGTGCGCACAGATGAAGCAGCGATCTCGTCACGTCTGTGCGCAATAGGGTCAGATCAAGGAGCGACCACTCTGATGATTGAAGTTGATGGTTGAACATGCTTTATTGCAGGGTTGATTGATTCTAAGGGGTGTGAGACATTATTCTCCACCTATGGACGTGCGAATGTACAAGTCACTCGAAAAGAAGACGGCGGTGACAGCCTTGCCACCCGCCTAGAGGTTACCAGATAGTGTATACAAAAAATGTAAAAACATTAGAAAGTGATGGTTTGCACCGGTCGTTGTATCGTGGCAGATGGAGAAAGATGGGAAAATACACAAAGGAACATCGGTCTGCAAGGAAAGAGTTGGACGGTGGAAAGGCCATAGCGAATGGGACACTGTCCTTTTGGAGGTGTCAAGCTCGAGATAAGGCCGACTCTCTTTGCTTTTGTGTACCAGGTAATGGAAAAGGATGACAATCACCGACGGGCCAAAAGGCTAGTCGTTTCGAAATGAGTTCTTGTCTTTGCAGCCCGATTGAACGCCTGAGGTCGAGCCGCCGAAACGCCTTGCTAAGTGGATAGAGCCAACGGGACAGATGCTAATGGATGCAGGAGGGAGAGAGGGAAAGGATGAGAGCGAAGTTGTATCAAGGGTGCAAAAGTGAAATGAGGAGGCCGCCAATAAAGTGAAGAGACTGGGCTAGCGTACATGTTCCGTGCCAGAGAACCGGGTCGGCTGCATCGTAGCCGGCGATCAGTGCACGCGCACTCTTACTCATCTGCAGACTACGAGTCAACACCAAAACATGCCGGAGCGAGGATCTGATGCTCGAATACGGGGAGGGGCCCCATTGTCATACGTGGACTCTGGAACTCTTGGGCATCTGGCACTCTGGGACTCTTTTTTGGGGGCGACCATGCCTTGCCATGCATGCGAGTGTAGGATTGGGAAGGAGAGCAAGTCTGACTACAGTATGGGGTACTTACCTAGGCTTTGGCAGTGCAACCACGGCATGTCTTGAGCTTGCAGTTTTGGCATTCGTAGATCTGCGAATGAGGGCCTGAATGGCACAAATGGCAGTTCCAGAGAACAATGGTGGTATCTGATTTAATGATTTGAAAGTTGTGCTGGCAGTTTCCTGGGGCGGCCATGGCTTCGGTAGTGTTGGTGGTAGTGAGTGTGGGTTTGGGTAGTGAAGGAAGACGTGCCAGGCGAAGTAGAAAAGTGACGGGCTTTGTATGAGTAGGCGCGGCTGCAGTCATGTTAGAGAACGCTCTGGGGCCTAGCCTAGATATGTAGAGCGGACGTACAGGGCTCACAAGAGGATGGGGCAGGTTGCTGTTTGAGGCTAAGGTGGGATGCGCTCGAAAGCGAGGGTGGGTGAGGGTACTTGGAAGTCGTGGCTGGTAAAAGCAAGCAAAGCTGCAGAGAGAAGAAGAAGAAGGGCTATGGCAAATGGGTGATGGAGGAGAGGATGGATTGCTGGCTGGGGATCTGAAGACGCTAGAGGCGCGGATTCGGGCCCGTCTTATACTGACCTTCATCGATTGCTCACGAAAAGAGAATTAAGTTTTGCTATGACCGACGCTGAGTCGAAGTCGACCGAGAAGGGCAGTGTACAACAACCGTCCAGCGTGCAGCCGTCCAGCAGTCTTGCTGCCCTGGAGAGTCGACATCGAAAGCGGACAGCCAGACTACAGATGGAGCGAAGGACACACGCAGGGTTACACGACAAGGCCGCATGAGAAGTGCCTCTTTGCTTCACCCGCCATATGAGGCTCTCAGACCAGGCAGCGTGGTGGAGCTGGTCCAACGCGGGCTGGCTGTTCCGCAGCCGCGGCCATGGTAGCATCTCCAGGTCGCGAAACCTTGTTGCAGGCCGCGGCGCCGCGATGTGAAAGCTCCGAGATGCGTCCTAGATGGCGCAGCCGCGTTGCCATGTGTCACACGAAACCCGTGGTGGGGGGGTGGGGGGAGTTTATAATATGGGGGTGGTGAGTTTTGTTTGGGTTTTTTAGTGTGGTTATTTTATTTTTTTG